AAAAAAAAATGCCAACCTCATATTTCATATATCCCTTCACATGTGTTCAACATACTTTCATCCTCCCATTACATATTTAATCTTTATACTAACCATCAGGTAGTGAGTGATATAGTGTCATTTCCACTTTCTAAATGAGAACATTGAGTTGGCGGAACTTGATGTTCTCAAGATCCTGCAGACAGTCTTACAATGTCTAACTATGAAGTTGACCCAGAAATAAGTTTTCTCACAAGGAAACACATTTTCCTTCACCAAACATCCCCATTGACTTCGGAGGGTCTAGTTCTGCAGCAGGAGTTCTGGTGGTGGACTGGTCTGTTAAGTGCTCAGCTGCTAACCGAAGGGTTAGTGGTTTAAACCCCCACCTGCTCTTGGGAAGACCTGATGATCTGATCCCATAAAGATTACAGCCTTGGAAACCGTGTGCGGCAGTTCTCCTCTATCCTATATGGTCTCTGGGAGGTGGAATTGCTTCGACAGCACACGGCAGTTCCATAATGAACTGGAAACCGTGGTTTTCTCTAGAAATACATTATCACTCACCAAAATTCACGCACATCGAGTCAATTCCAACTCATAGCAATTCTACAGGGCCCAGTAGAATGGCCTCTGTGGGTTTCTGAGGCTCTACACCTTTGTGGGAGCAGAAATCCTCATCTTTCTTCTGTGGAGTGTCTGATGGTTTAGAACTGCTGACCTTGTGGTTAACAGCCCAACTTGGAACCCACGACGCCACCAGTTTCCCAAATCTACTCTAGATTTCCATTTTGTATATGCTCTAAATCAGGTACATCTTTTATGATTAAAAAAAAATACTTTTACTTGGGAAAAATAGTATTATCCACAAAACTGAGAGGAAAACAAGATCAGATCATTGAAATATATCCAAAAATAAATAAATACATTGGACTGAAATTTCAAACACACAATTACCAACTAATTATAACTAGGGCAAGACACAGGAATTTGCTAATATTCAACTGCCATACCCTACAAAGAGCAATTTCACTTGTTTCAATCTAATATATTCAAGTTCTTTCTTTGAAAGGTCTTTATTATCTTTGCTTTGTCATAATTGTTCAATAATTTCCATTGGAGCTGTTGGTATATGAGGATCTGTCTGTTATTTTGTGTTACTCATCCTGCTTGCTGACTGATCTTATGTCACTGCAACACAGCTTCATAACTATATCCAAGAAGGAAGTCTTCCACAAATGACAC